AAAGATTTACCCAGAATGGGAATGCACATTATGACAACATGGCCAAACAACTGAGTACTTTGAACGAAATAATGAATAAGTTAGTAGGCCAAATTTGTCAACCAGTTGTGTCTCCTACAAACCACTTTCAAATTAGGACAATTGTGGGACATAATCCCCCAGTCCTAAGTTTAAATCAAAGGGTAAACCACCTTTTGATCCCTCTACTTCAAACCAGAGGGGTGGTGCAATACCAAATCAAAATAGTGGCATTGATACATCTAACTTGGGAGGTAATCCAAATGTAAAAGATAATATCCTAAATAATGGGCAGAATACCCCACGTGTTAATGAGGGAATAAATGTTCAGGCTAATGGTAACAATGACCCAAATCATGGTAACTTTGTTCCCAATCAAGGACAAACATCAGGCCTCAAGCAAATCAACCGATCAACCAACCTGTACGAATTCCATATGACCCCAACGTCATGTTGAGGAATTAGATTATGAAAATCGTACAGGACCAGATGGCTTTTGGAGTACGTCCTATCATTAGGCCGACTTACATAAAGCCATATCCTGATTGGGTAGACCAAGCATATCCATGGCCTAGAGGATATAAGGTGCCAAAATTCTCACTGTTTACTGGTTTAGGAGAGGTGTCTACTCTAGAACATATAGGGCGATTCACACTGCAAAGTGGTGACGTAACTGATTACCATAAAATGAGGCTATTCCCTAGTTCATTAACAGGAGTAGCCTTCTCCTAGTTCATCAATTTGCTAGCAAACTCTGTTCAAACATGGCAACAATTGGAGCAATTGTTTCACGCTCAGTTTTATAAGATTGAGTCTGAAGTTACTTTGGTCGATTTGGCGAATCTACGTCAAATGTCAAACGAATGGGCAGAAGGTTTCCTTGAAAGGTTCAAAACAGCAAGAAGTAAATATTTTGTACCTTTGCCCGAAAAGGAATTTGTCAAAATCGCTCAAGGTTGTCTAAGCTTTGATCTGAAGAAGAAGTTCCAAGACAAGGAATTTCCTGATCTTTTCCAATTGAGCACGAATGAGATTAGGTATGAATGATTAATAAGAGAGGAAGAACAAATAAAAAATTCCAACAAAGGGACTTATTATAGAGACCCAAATTTTGATATTCATACCATTAACGACGAATATTACGATCAAACCGAAATGTGTTTAGCCAATTAGTTAAAGGAGACACATATACTTGTCCTATAATGGCTAAGCCTAGACCGTCAAACAAAGATGAGCCTATAAAAGATGAAAACATAAAGGTTAGAACGTTCTCGTTCGATGTAACCAAAGCTGACCTTATATTTGATAAATTATATAAGAATAAGCAGATAAAGCTGAGCGATGACCATAAATTGCCAAGCCCTGAACAAATTAAGGGTAAAAAATATTATAAGTAGCATAATGCATGGTCACATTTGACTAACAATTGTTTGGTTTTTCGCCACGTGTTATAGGATGTCATTGAAAAAGGACGAATTACGTTCGAGGATAAGAGGAAGATGTCACTGGATGAAAATCCTTTTCCACAGCCACTTGGAGTGAACATGGTGACGTCTGGTTTCAGAAACAAGTTGCCAAAATTCAAGTTGGTTATAGATGATGGAGAAGAAGAAGCTGGACCACATCCCAGTGTCTTTGAACGTATCAAAGGGAAGGAGCCCAAAAAGGACGAATACGTCCTATGTGCAAGATGTAAAAAAGAAGTGAGTGCAAATGCAGAGAAATCAAGGATATGGCAGCATCACCATCGCCCTAGTTTTTTCCAAACGCTCAGCCTGGTAGAGGGCAGGGTACATCATTCTATAAGGGACCGCCTTTTGAGAGGTAGTTCAGGCCAGTAAATAATGGAAGAACATTCAGACCGCAACCTCACCAACCAAATGTA